ATGGGAAAGGCCAATGGAATTAGCCAGACCTGGATTGAAACCTTTTAGGTGAGTGACCCAGCACAAGTTACTTTACCTATCTAAAACTCAGTTTTTTTCATCATAAAAGGAGATAATAGCTATAAATTATCTCCAATCCCTTCAGTACTGCTGGAAATAGCTATTCCTAGCACAGTGCCTGGGACATACAAGGTACTCAATAAATGGTAGTGTTAATCATAATAATAGAGTTTTTAAAGAGAAAACAAGTTATAGACATCATTGTATATGTGTGTGAGCTCAAGGTAGGATATATTTTTCATTACTGGAAAATGTTACCTGCTTAGTTAAGACTAATGGCAATGTTTTCAACAGGCTTTCCGTCAATGACCTACACATAGTATTTGAAACAAACCAGTACATGTGGGGAAGCCCCCTCAACTTACTATGTGATCCACTGTGTACAAACTGCCAGGCACCAAAAAAAGGAAGGAAACAGCATGTGCATATACCACTTTGCAACCAATGGAATACAAATAGTATTTCTTCCCAGCAGAGGATTAGTATAATCTATGTGGCAGCAGCAATCCATTAGGGAGAGATGGCTGCAGTCTAATATTAAGCAAGCTTTGAAGGCAGCACATTTCTGGACCTCAGTTCTAGTTGCACTTATTGTTAAAATGAAACTGAAAGAATTTTAGAAAATAAAATAAATTTCATACCTGAGTAGCTTTTGCAGATTTTGTACAACAATGAAAGAACTTTCATGTCTTTGGAGTACCACACATTTCCTTAAATTGCACAGAGGAAGCATGAGCTCATTGTTAAGAGCTTTACTGAATGCCATTTCCTTTTCAGATATGTTTTCTTCTGTTAAACCAACCCAATAAGCCCTCCAGTACCTTTTTTTTTTTTTTTTTAATCCTCACCGGAGGACATGCTTAGGGAAAGGAAGGGGAAGAGAGAGGGAGGGGAAGAGAGAGAGAGAAACATCCATAGGTTACCTTCCATAAGTGCTCCACTGGGGGATTGAAACCTAAATACAGGTATGTGTGACACTCAACCAACTGAGCCACTCTGGCCAGGCTCCAGTACCATTTTCAGAAGAGAGCATGTATAGCATGGTGAAAACAGTCTAGATTTAAAGCTCAGCCCCACCATTTGTATAACCTTGGGCAAGTAACCTAATCTTTCAGCCTCAGTTTCCTTACTTGTAAAACAGGAACAATCTTTCTTCAAGATTATGTCAATCTTGAATATGAGGGTTGTACATTTTATATTCACAATATCATTAATATTGTGCTATACAAATAAATAGACATAACATTAATAATATATTTAATGAGCACCCATAATGTGCCAGGCACTGAACTAACACTTAACATCTGATACAACACTTGGCACAGAGTAGGCACTCAAAAATCATTATGAAGAATCATATCCTTATTCTAAGTACGTGTTTCATGTTCTAGGTAATATTATTACTCTGAGTAAATGATTCATGCCCCCTGTATCCCAAATGACTGGCAAGCGTTTACCAAATACTAGAGGCCTGGTGCACGAATTCATGCATGGGTGGGAGGGGTCCTCAGCCCAGCCTGCACTCTCTCGAAATCCGGGACCCTTCAGGGGATGTCTGACTGCCAGTTTAGGCCTGATCACTCTCGCAATCTGGGACCACTGGCTCCTAACTACTCACCTGCCTGCCTGCTTGTTTGCCCCTAACACTTCTGCCTGCCTGCCTTATCACCCCTAACTGCTCGCCTGCCTGCTTGTTCACCCCTAACCCCTCTGCCTGCCTGCCTCATTGCCCCTAATTGTTCGCCTGCCTGCCTGATCGCCCCTACTGCCTCTGCCTCGGCCCCACTGCCACAGCTTCATCCAGAAGGTTGTTCGGCTGTCTGGTCTAATTAGCATATTATGCTTTTATTATTATAGATATTTCCTCTGATTTAGAGCATAAGGAAATGGTGCTCCCCATCAAATGGAAAACCACCTAAATAATTACAATGAATTTCAATAATACATTTATAGATTTTATGTGCATTTTCACATCCTGAGCTAAGTAAAGCTAACTAATTATTCTCTTATTATTCAGCACTTAGGCAGTTGCTGAGAATGCCACATATGTTATCTTTAATTCTCACACTAGCTCTGCAGGGTGTGAAGGTTTTTTCTATAGCTGACAAAACAACGTAAGGCGAAGTTATGTGATCAGCAAGGACACACAGATAGTAAAAGTGGAGCTGTGGATGTAACCTGGGTTCGTATGGTTCCAGAGCCCACACTTTGTAAAAAAATATGACCAGGCTGGACCTAGTCAGCTTTGTTATTAATATAAACTTATGTCTCTTGTATTTAGACCCTGGCAAATTATGCAACTGCACTTTTAAGGAAAGTTAAAGGGTAAAATATCTTAATTTAAAAATAATTACTTACAAATAGTTAAGGTATTCTACTTTCTTACAACAAAATACTTCTGGAAATAAGTCATTAAAATAAGATTTCTATCTGCCAGCTACAAATGCCAGACCAAGAGAGGCTATGTGAGCTTGTAAATTCATCTAATTTCTTATATAACACACTGCTTTTTTCTTTTTTTTTAATATATTTTATTGATTTTTTACAGAGAGGAAGGGAGAGGAATAGAGGTTTAGAAGCATCGATGAGAGAGAAATATCGATCAGCTGCCTCCTGCACACTCCCCAGTGGGGATGTGCCCGCAACCAAGGTACATGCCCTTGACCGGAATCGAACCTGGGACCTTTCAGTCCGCAGGCCGACACTCTAACCGCTGAGCCAAACCGGTTTCGGCCACACTGCTTTTTTACCCTGAACTGCAAAGTACAATAATTGGGAGGAGGGCCAACAGAAATCAGTGAAATAAGTAAAGTATTTTTAATAGAACGTTTTGATAAAAGGCAGCACAGTATAGCCGGTTTTAGGGCTAGTTCCCACTACTCCACTAGTTATTGGCTATGTGACCTTGGGCAAGTCACTTAACCTTTCAGAGCCTCAATTTCCTCAATTGTAAAACCCTACTTAGCCATGAGAATTAGGGATAATGGGTAATCTCTCATCAAACCAGCTAACAGAAGGTAGACAGTTAATACACTTTAAGTCCAGTATTTCCAGGGAGCCAGATGATTTAGAGTTCCTGGTGACAACAACTTTAAAGAATAAGTAAAAATAGCTTAGAGATCACACAGTTTTTTAGGAAGTAGTGGATATTATGAAAGTACTTAAAAGTTCCAGAAATGTTTATCCTTTCAATTTACTTAGTTATTCTCCCAGGATTCTGGTTCATACTGCAAATTTGCTAGGAAAATCTCAGAAATAAAAGCCAAAACCAAATAGTTGAATGATACAAAATAAGTCTCCATGCCAAACCAGGTCAGATCAATATTAATGAGTTTCCCCATACAATCCTCTCAGATGAGAGGTCTGTAAGAGAAGAAGGTAATTTAGCGATAGTATACATTCAGTCTGGAAATCAGAATGTCTCACTTCTCTCTCTTGCTATATTAGTCTCTGACTGAAAATTTTAGAATAATACCCTCTCCCATATTTTGTCTTGAAAACGGATAATCCGCAGGCAATGTAAACAGACATATGGGAAGTGCTAGCATTTAGGACTTTCCATTTTCAAAGACCTGAAGACACTCGCCAATAAGGACCATCCTAATGTCACTGGGCCTGTCCTCGTGGTCACTTTGTAGACCGAGAGCGCAAACAAAATGGGCTGGCCACGCCACGCAAACAACATAGAGACGAAGGGAAAACAAGAGAAAGACCAGCCACTGGCAGCAAAAGCTCTTGCAAATAAAGGCAGTGGGGTGGGGAGGGCATATACCCAAATTATATATGGGAAAGGGTGAGGGAGTTCACCCCACAATCTAGAATGTTGAGTAAACAGAGTTCTCAAGAAGCTGAAAAAAACAACTTGAGAAGCAGAAGGGAATTAAGGAAAGACAGCACCTGTGTGTGGGGGGGGGGGGGGGGGGGGGGGGGGGCAGTGAAAGTAGGGTGACCCCTTCCTCCGTGAGAGGCGGTCTCATTTCTTGACTCACTTCACGGAATGGTAAATTCTTTCACTGCAGATGCATCGACCTGCTTCTTCCCTAAGCCATCCCAGGCCTAGCGGCAGAGCCTTGCACACAGTAATTACCACAGGCTTTGGAAAGCCCTGTCCGTGCGTCTCACAACTCCTCGGGCTGCTGAGCACGTTTCATACCATAGTCACCATGTATGGCATAGTGGGACCGTCTGCTCGTCTGACTCCCGGAACAGACGCTTCGCTCCCGGCCCGGGGAGGTGCTCCGTAAACACGGTTCATGAAGGAACCCTTTGTGGGCTGGCGTTTCTGCCCCCGCCCCGGCCGTGCCTTCGGCTCCCTGAAGGTGGGGGTCGGTCTGAACAGGCAGCATCCTCCTCCCGCTTGGAGTGCACTGCTGCCCCGCAAGCTCTTTCTCATCTCCGCATCCCCCGGCCCCCTACAGGGTCGGTGCAGCACAAACTTCCGGCAATTACAGCGGGAGCGGTGCGAGTGGGGTTAGGGAGGAAAACAGGAGCGACACAGGTGGGAGACAGCGGCTGAATGGCGGATTCAACGGCCAGCTCCCCGGAGCCGACAGAGGAGCGCGAGGGCGGAAAGACGAACGGCCAGGGAAGGGTGGTAGCCCGGTTCAGACGGGCCCTACCTTGGGGTAGGTGTGCAAGGGGTAGGTCAACTGACAGGCCCGGTGGCAAGACGCCGTATCCCCCAACACCGAGTCAAACGCTTCGGCCGAGGCGGTCCCCGAGCCTCCGGCCAGGGCAACGGTCAGCAGCAGCAGCGGCGGAAGCCCCAGCTGGGCCCTGACCCGGAGGCTCCCTCTCGGCACCGCCATTTTGTTTCCCTCTGTCAAGGCAGCTCAGCTTGTTGCTGTTTTCTTTTCAGGATTTCCTCCTCCTTCCGGGGCCAGCCCCTTCCCCGCCCCGCCCCCGGCTGCCGCTTCCGCCTCCGCTGTCCCGCTCAGAAGAGGTGGAGCCAACCCTCGCGAGCACTGGAGCGAACCGGCATCCGGGACCCCTTTTTTCCTCTGCGGTGCACGCTGGGGCATGTAGTTCTTCACCGGCGGGAGGCGCCCTGGCGGTTGGGAAAGCTGGTCTCGGAGAACTACAATACCCTGGGGGCGACCTCGCCCGCCCCTTCGCAGTGCATTCTGGGGAGTGTGGTTTGCAGTGTCGCTGAGGCTCTCGGCGGGCGGACGTCTCGCCCGAGAAACTACCAACCTGGAAGGAAGCGGCCGTTTAGTTTCATCAGGCCGAGACTGGGGAAGAAACTGTTTAATGGACTCTTCGCAACCGTAGTTCTCTGGAGGGGCCTCGCTGCTGCCAGGCTGCTTTTCCTGGTGCGTTTCACGTCAGACCCTTTGCGTTGTTAAGTCCCCCTTTCTGGGCTCAGGAGTGCTGAGGGCAGAGGAAGATGGGGTTTATTAATAGCATTTTCGCTCAGGGATCGAGAAGCCCATAGTCGTGGATAGGGAGGGCTCTGGGACCACAAGCAGTTCCCGGAGACAGGGACTGGTTGCGAGGACTTTGCTGAGATCTGGTTACTAGGGAAAACCTTGGGATTGCAGCAATGGTGGGGTAGTTATTAAGAGAGCTTCATCGCACCCAGTGGAACTTGATCCTGCCACCACCCAACCTAAGTTGGAAGAGGTTTGTCACTAGGTTCAACGCCTGGCCCAGTATTGGACTCCCCTCCACAGCGTGCACTTGTGAAAACTAGGCACTTTCTGACCCAGATAGTAGACCCGTTATTGTACAAGTTTCAGGTCTTGGGAAGATGTTTCTTTTTCAAGAGAAAATCTTCCCATAAATTCCATCCAGTAGTCCTCATAATCCAGGGAAGCTTCCAGAATCCAGAGTGCATAGACCACAGTTGTGTCATTTTAGGGAACACACATCCCAACAGTTAGGACGTTTTAGAATCTGCCCTCTTTTCTTGAGCAGAACACAGTGCAAGCACATGGAGGTAGCCGGAGGCCCCTAGCAATGGATAAATTCGTCATTCGAACGCCTAGACTCCAGAGTAGTCCTCAGAAGAAAGGTCCTGGAGGCAAGATTTACAAGCAGGCCACAATCGAATCTCTGAAGGTGAGAAGGGGACCTGGGACTAGAGAAAATGTGCAACGGGCTGTGATGGCAAGGTGGTGTGAGCTCTGTGGAAGACCTGTGTGCTATTTTTGCATTACTTCCCAGTGTTCCTGGCCACTCCTCCTTTGTTTCCCCCGTACCCTGTACTGATTTCAATTGATCAGTTCCAGGACTTCTCTTACACTTGCCTAATTACTTTGGCCTAATGGTATGTTTTGGTAGCTGGTAGGACAAACCCCCAGTGTTATTCTTCTTTTGCAAAATTTTGTCTATTAGGAATGTTCAAGTACCAAGTATGAGTTTATGTACCCTGTATAAACTCAGTCAGGCTGGGTGATGATACTGTACTCTTCTAGCTTTTTGGCCCGAACTGTATCACGAGACCTCCATCGCTATATCTGAGATTGGGGAAGAGACTATTTTAATGGACTCTTTGCAACCTGAGTGTGTTAGCAAGGAAGAGTCAAGGAATAGATACAAGGATAGACAACCAACAGTGAGTCAGCCAACATAGATACTCAATTAATGGTAAAATAGTTATTTCACTAAAAACAAAAAACTATTTGTAATTAGTTCGCTTTGTCTTCTTGAACCTCTCTTCCTACATATTGGACTTTTTCTTTTCTGTTTCGTTTATTGCTTCCCCTTCCTCCACTAGACTCCTAATGTTTGTGCTCCCAAGAGCTTACCTGACTCAGATTAGAAAGCAGTGAAGGGGGTATAAACAGAAGCCCTGGGTTCTAGTCTTTACTGTGCAACGGGGTGATCTTTAGCGAGCCATTTTCTCCTCTGGGATCTGTTTGTCCTCCCCATAAAATGTAGGGTTGCGCCCTACCTGGTTTGGATCAGTGGACACAGCATTGGCCTGGGGACTGAAGGGTCCCGGGTTCAATTCCAGTCAAGGGCACATGCCCCGGTTGTGGGCTCAATCCCCAGTGGGGGTGCCTGCAGGGAGGCAGCCAATCAATGATTTTCTCTCATCATTGATGTTTCTCTCTCTCCCTCTCCCTTCTTCTCTGAAATCAATAAAAATATATATTTTTAAAAATGTAGGGTTAAGTAATATCAGTGTTTCTTTAAAGGAGCACTATTGTCATTTGGGGTAAGATAATTCTTCATTATTTGAAACTGCCCTGTGAGTTGTAGGAAGTTTAACATCCCTGGCCCTCAGATACTAAATGCCAATATCACCTCCCACTGTGATAACTGTGGGCTACAAGGCTGCTGTGGGCACATGGGCAGGTCTTGGCCCATCCTCTGCGCCCCCGCCCAGCCTCTGCTGCCACAGCCCCGGTCCCCTGTCTGCTGAAGGCCCCGCTTCCACCACCGCCGCTCCCACGCGCTAATGGCGCCGGCCTGCTCGATTGGGGCCAGCACCAGCAGCAGGTGCGAGCGGGGCGGGCGGGCGCTGTCAGCGGGTGCAAGCAGCTGCTCCAGCGCTGGCCGCGAGTGCAAGCAGGGCTGGCACTGGCAGCAGGTGCAAGAGGCTGCCAGCCCCGATTGCCCCTCAGGAGCAGGGGGAGGTGGAGAAACCCTCAGGGGCAATCGGGGCCAGAAGCTGCCGCTCTCACTTGCTGATGGCGCTGAGTGATCTCCGGTGCCAGCAGTGGGTGCGAGTGCCTGGGGTGCGGGAGGAAAGAATTTTCAGTAACCACCAGAGGCTTGCCCCGATGACAGCAACCAGTGCCCTGCCTTGGTCTGGCGCCCTGCTTCACCATCTCGCCGAGGCCGATGCCTGCCATGTTCTGTGCTCTGCCGTCTGCTGCCGGCACCCACCATTTTCCACATGTGCCCCCTGGTGGTCAGTGCACGTCATAGTGACCGGTTGTTCGGTTGTTCTGCTGTTCAGTCTATTTGCATATTAGGGTTTTATATATAGAGATAACTTTATGCCCAGCACTATGCTGAGGTACTCTGGGAACCATAAGGGAAATTTAAGGTCAACGTATGAATCATCATGGGACTTCCTATTAGAGCATCATAGCAAAAGAAATTATTAAGTAATGATACAAAATCATATGTGATCCATTACAAATTGTTTTTTGGACAAAAAGGGTTAAGAGTTAAGAGAGGAGAGAGCTCAATGTCTCTTTTACTGGTCAGAGCACCCAAAGGGATGGAAAGCTTTGGCTAGGTAGAGGGAAGTAGTGACAGATACCCATTCAGTAAGTGGTACTTGCTGTTCTCTTTTCTTTGTGCACACACACACATGCCTACTTTCATTTGTACACAATGACAAATTAAAATCAAGTTGAGTTAAATGTGAGTTCTAGAGTGTTAGCTAGGTCTACTCTCTGCCAAATGACTTAGTCCTACACACTAGCATCACATTTTAATGCCAAGAATCTGCTGAATGTTCAAGCCTCAATTTCCTCATCAGTAACATCAGAAATAATATCTAACCTGCAGTGTTGTTATAAGGGCTAAATAAATAAATGCATGTTGAAAGGGTTAAGTATTGTCCCGGAATGTAATAAAAATAGCTATTTCCTCTTTTCATGTACAGAAAAGGAGAGGCTTGTGTAAAACTAGAACTAGAGCTGAGAATGATGATGGGGATGATAATAGTAGTAATGAGTACTACTAACATTTTTGAGCCCATTTCTATGGGCCAGGCATTGTGTTAAGTGCTTTCCATATAGTAACTCTTTAAATTCTGTGAAATGGATGATTTAAGCCTCGCCCAAGGATATGTTTCATTGTTTTTTAGAGAGAGAGAGAGGAGAGAAACATCAATGTGAGAGAGAAACATTAATTGGTTGGTTGCCTTCCGTGCCCACTCCAACTGGGGATCAAAACTGCAACCTAGATATGTGTCCTGACCAGGAATCTAAACACCACCTTTTGGTGTGTGGGACAATGCTCCAACTAACTAAGTCCACCCAGCCAGAGCTATCATTTATATTTGACAGATGAAGAATCTAAGGCAGAGAGATTAAGTAGTTTGCTCAAGGTCAGAGACAATCTGATTCTACAGTCTGCCCCCTATAGGGTGAACTATTAAAAAAAAGTGGAGGTTTCTGAATGCCATGTAAAGGAAGTATAAAAACCTTAGAGTATTAGGACCATTGTACTTCTGTTATCAGTGTGGTACAAGTAATTTTGCCATAGCCTTAACTCATTCAGTGAAAGTGATACTCAAGAGCTCATGTAGTGTACATTTGAATGGTAAAGGTTAATTTGGATAATCTCTTATTCCCTTAAGGGAAAGTGATTTCTTGTGTTGGTTGCAATAGGAGATTTTATTACTAAAAGATTCTAGAACATGCTAATCCTTTTAGGTTTAGCACATAAGAATGCTCTATAAACCTTTCCTCCCTTTGTAGGATTGACTATCCAATATGTGTCCCTTGCCCCACCAGTGGAATGGTGCTCATGTTATTGCTTATGAGAGAGTATTGTCCCTAATTGGTTTTGTCAAACTTGATAATTCAGCCATTCACAACTGTAAGACCAGATGGTATTTCGGAGAACATCTCTTCTTTCTGGCAATAACCTTTCCACTACTAATTGTACCTACCCCATTGGTATTTCTTGTTCACTTCCCTTGTTCCTCCCCATAATTCTGATACAAATTTGAAATATATGTTTTGGGATTCACATTTGGATGGAAATAAGGAAGCATTCTTTGATATTTATGGAATTCTTCTGCTCTGGAACTGACTGCTATATTTTCTATTTCCGCCCTAAAATTTCAGATCTGAAAATGATGCTGTACTTAGTCTTTGAGGGTAGAAATGGTGTTGTTCAGTTACACTTGTTTTTGTGCACTGGGGATAGCCCTCAAGTTGTTCATAGCCCGGTGGGGAAGACAGCCTTCTAGATAAACATATGCAGAAAGCAGAGATATAGTAATAGAAGTCTGTACAGATTACAAAGGGACCCAAAAAGGAATATGGTCAAATGTGTTTGGAGGGAGGCAAGGATGGCTTCATAGAGGAGGTGATGCTTGAAGAGAGTCTTAAAAATTAATAGGCAAAGAAAGAACATCCCAGGCAAAGAGTGTGAAATACTGTGACTCATTTAGGTAGCTTTAACTAGGTTGATGTATCTGGAGTAAATGATGAAGCTGTTAGGGTGTCAGGAGCCAAGTCATGTAAGGCCTTTTATGCCATGCTAAAGAGTTTGGGCTTCTAGTTCCATATGCTGGAATGAGCTGAGTGAAACCCTGCACTTCATTCTAACCATGTAGAAAGTCTCCAGTACAGCCCTGCCAGTGTGGTGCAGTGGTTGAGTGTCAACCCATGAATAAAAAGGTTATGGTTCCATTCCTCGTCAGGGCCCATGTCCAGGTTGCGGGCTCCATCCCCAGTAGGGAGCGTGCAGGAGGCAGCTTATCAATGATTCTCTCTAAGCATTGATATTTCTCTCCCTCTCCCTTCCTCTCTCTGAAATCAATAAAAACATATTTTTTTAAAAAGTCTCTAATACTGAGGTGAATTTGAAAGCAAGAAGGAGAAATCCTCAGGTGCCAGGAAGAAAAAGGAAATCCAAACCCAGAGCTGAAGTTGAATAGTTCTATTGAAACCAGATGTAATGCTTAGGGGCTAGGGTTTTAGGGTCAGTACGGGGATTGCACATAAATCCTCAGGTTAATAACCCCCATATGAAGCTGAGAGCCAAAACAAGACTACCATGTTTGAGAAAAATGAACTAGAAAAATTTCATTAGTCTAAGGAAAAAGCGTGAAGATTGTGGTCTTCTCAGGGTTTGGGGTGAAAAAAAAGTTAACTATAACAGTGTAGAACTCCATACTTATTACTATGCATGGAGATATACATCTATATTTACATTTATACATGAACACATATAGGCTATATAATAAAAGGCTAATATGCAAATGGACCAAACGGCAGAATGATCGTTTGCTATGACGTGCACTGACCACCAGGGGGCAGACGCTCAATGCAGAAGCTGCACCCTGGTGGTCAGTGCGCTCCCACAGGGGGAGCGCCACTCAGCCAGAAGTCGGACTCATGGCTGGTGAGCGCAGCAGCAGT